AAGAAGGATCTTCGATGGGTGACGTCATACACTCTCAGTTTCAGTAATGATGGGAAGAAATGGGAAAAATACGAACATGGAGGAACGGAGAAGGTAAATGGAGAACTAGAGAATACTTTGTTAAAAAATAAAATTTATCTTTTTTCTGTGACATTTTTATGACAAAACAACTAAACCAACTTCATATAATCGTTTTTTCAGGTGTTTCAAGGCAATGTGGACAACAATACTGTGGTACTACACAGTTTACCGAGCCCTGTTGAATCTCGTTATGTCAGATTTTATCCTAAAACGTGGCGTAATGGTATCGCTATGAGAACAGAAGTCTTTGGAGCTTTTCCTGGTAAGAACAAAAGACTAGTGTATCGAGAGACGAAGCCGGGGTCGCTGGCTGTACGAAAGATGGATAAAGCTGTCAACCGCATTGATTTTGTATTTTATTCGCTGGTTGAGTATTTATCTTCTGTATAGTGCTGTACCGTCGTACAACCGGCCCTGGTTTTATCACAATCGTAAGCGCAATTGCAAGGATCAAACTCGTCACATTCTTTACGCTTGATTGTGATATAGTAATATTGCTTTTATAGTCACTTCGATGCTGAGGCATTTGGTTTACACTCATATTTATTATTCTTACGATTGTGCTTGCGCTTGCAAACCTTCGTCCCAATAAAAGCACCATTGACCGTTTTCTTTTGAAGAGGTACATTTACCTCGCTCTAATACACAAATATGTTGTTCTACTTTAAAAGATGACGCTCTTGAGCCATTCGAGCCATCAATCAGTCCTGATTTGACAATGTCAGAACCTCCAGAGGACCTACCCCCTGCACCCGAACCATCACCAGATATAAAACCACCAACACCCGTTACCAGACCCCTGACTCCACCCATAGAAGTCGAAGAAGAATCAGAGGACTTGGAACGGTTCAAATGCTCTCCTGACCAAATGGCTTCCCTAGAGGGGTGGGAAGAGGAGACGATTAAATCCATCGCAGATCCTCTTTCTGAAGAGGAGATTGAAGGTACTTGTATTAAATAATGTTAAAATTAAGAAATATAAAACGGCGCGCGTGTCTCTGTCCTCTGATATTAACACGGTGGGAGTTCGAAAAATACGAGAGAAAGCAAGCTTAGGAACACGAGCGTAGCGAGTGTTTCTCTTGCTTCTCGAGAGTGTTTTTCAACTCCCACCGTGTTTATATCAGAGGACAGAGACACAAGCGGCCGTTTTATATTTCTTTTATAAAATTTTTCGAGCGAAAAAGAACATTTTGCCGGTAAGCCGTGTCTCTGTCCTCTGATATAAAAACGGTCGTCAGCCAATCAGAGCGCGCGTTATATATCAAAAATTTTATAAATAGATATAAAGCAATTCCAAAAGAAATTATCGACTAAACAGACTAAAAGGAGCTAGGGTTGCAAAGTTTTATGTGCAATGTCTAGTTGTGTGCGCGTATTCGTCAGTAATGCATTTACTTTTCATTCTTGTTTTGATAGTTGCGTGTGTGTTATATTCGTTTATAGAACGTGAAGTTAGACTTAATTCGGCTTGCTTGAGCATCCAAGGGTCTAAGGTAGGTAATAATGGCTATCAACGAGCAGGAGTTGATTGATTGGTTGATTGATGATATATTAATGGATTGATTTACTG